GAATGAAGCTCAGTTCAGTTCATGTCTCTGTTCTCTGGTTTTTAGCAGCTTCTGTTAATTTCACTGAGACAAACATCTGTTGAAATGAGGTGAGTCATAGTTACTTTCTGTTATCGAATGTAAAACAGTCCAGCAGACTGTTTCTCTACTACAGTGTTATATCTGATAACTGAGGAGCTTGTGCACTCAGTGTTGGTTTACCTTTTTCTCTATAAATCACATTATCATATTTTGGGGAAAAAAAGAATCAACTTTATTGTCCTTGTAAGGCAGTAAAATGTTCTTTGGCCTCATCCAGGGAAACAAATATTTCCTTAAGATTAAAAAAAAAAAAGCCCAAAACATCCCACTTTCTACTGTCTACAGTCACATCCTGCTGTGTTCACTCTCATGTTTAATGTTCCAGCAGTTGGAATGAAAGAACCATGTAGATCTTTTTCTCAAAGTTTGTGTCTTTTCCTCCCAACCATGATGTGTATATTTGGGAACAGCCATGTCTGATGTGATCTATGACCGACAGAGAACATCAACATCCAGCTGAGATTGTCTGAGGTGAAGAGTCCTCTCTCCTTCTTCATCTCTGTGAGGAAGAGCAGCACTGATGTCCTCCTCATCCACTACAGTCATAATCATGTTGAGCTGCAGGTTCAGCGCCCTCTTTTCATAGAGCACACTTATCTTATGACTGCAAAGTATTTAATGTACTTTTTAAATGTGCAATAAAGGTATTGATGAAGCTCTTGTCCACAATGTGTTGATGTTTCAGTGCTGCATATCTGCTAGAAATGACAGAAACATGTTCTCCGTACTGTAATCATGCAACAACAGCAGAGATTAAGCTAAAGGCGATAAATGGAACCTGTGACCACTGGAATTGGTTCACTGAGGATGATGTCCATTCAGTCTTCTTCACAACCAGATAAACGGCTCCAGATGAGGTTTTCCTTCTGCTGGCTTCACTCAGAAGATCTTCAGTGACTCTGAGACACATCTGAGGTGAAGAGAGACATCACAGTATCAGCATCAACAGCAGAGGTTCATTTAAAATAACACTGGAAAGATTTCCTATTTCATGTACAGTTTACCAAACACTTAAAGTGAAGGCCTGGAGTTGCTTCACATGGAGAGGAGAAGATTTTTTTTTCTTCAGTCTCTCTGTGCTGCATTTCCATCCATTCCATTATCTTTACACCGCTTAATCCTCACTAGGGTAGCACTAAGCTGACTTAGGGCAAGGGAAGGGGACACCCTGGACAGGTCACCAGTCTATCGCAGGGCTACACTTAACAGACAGACAACCAAGCACACTCACATTCACACCTACGGACAATTTAGAATTACCAATTAACCTCGGCATGTTTTTGGACCTTGTGAGAGGAAGCCAGAGAACCTGGTGAGAACCCATGCTGCACGGGGAGAATATGCAAACTCCAGGCAGAAAGATCCCGGGTCCTCACCGGGACGCAAACTGGCGACCTTCTTGCTGTGAGGCAAAGGTGCTAACCACCGACCCACCTTGCAGCCTCCATGAAAACTAACAAAAAAAAAATTCATGAGCTGTATTAAAGCTGTCTTTCGTGATCTACGTTTTCCTGTTTAGAACTGGGGTCTATAGGAGCCAGAGCTTTTCAGAGCCAGCACCTAGTGGACGTCGTGGTACTGCAGGTGTTTGACACATCCGGGTTGGCTTCACAGTGCATTGTGGGATATTTTGAGTGCACTATATAGGGTGTAACATTTGTAACTTAACATTCGGAGAACACTGCAAAATGGCGAACACCCTATATAGTGCACTATGTGGGGTATAGTGGGTGATTTCGGACACAGCCTTAGCAAAACTAAGTAAAGATAGAAAGAACATGTTATGTTAGCCAACTGACAGGACGTTTCCAAGATGGCGCCGAGAGTGAAACTTGCCTACCAGGACTTCACCATTACTGATTAAAACTACATATTTCTTTAATTTTGAGCGTAATTAAAAAACATCTGGGGGCAATGTGAGTAAAAAAAAGTTGACAAAATATTATAAATAGTTTGGCTAACCTGACCCTCTACATAAACGGGTCATTAGGTATCTGTAGCCTCTGCTCATTAGCTTGAGGCGGAAAAAAGCGGCTGCATTCCGCGGTTAATGAAGCGTTCATCGTGCCGGGGAACAAAGCGGAGATTCAGGCTCAGATTAGAAGCCGTTGTCTGTTGTTTACAGCGTGTTCGTGTGTGTAAACATCCCGGTGACTAACGGTGACTCGTGGGTTTTAATGAACCTGCTGTCACAGGTGTACGTTGCGCAGCCTCGCCTCGCCTCGCGCGTGAGCGTGTGTGACTCAGCCCGTGCGAGCGCGAGACTGTCTGTTCCCGATTCACAACTTTCAAAACATGTCCGCGTGCAGCTGTGGGCTGAGTCCAATTACATCACCGGCGGCCATAAAAACGGCGCTGCGGCTCATCGGGAGGAAGACCCGCACGCAGCTGAGGCACGGAGCGCACGGTCGGCACACCTGGACACCCCGGAGCTCCACTCATGGACCTACACTCCTCCAAAGACATGAAGAAACCGAGGACTCTGAGCTGCAGCATTAAGGTAGGAGCCAGTGCTGCTGCTGCTGCTGCTGCAGGGAAACGTCTTGTTTTAACCTGCAGCATTGTTTATGTAACTACCTGAACTGGATTTATTTTTAGTTGATTGCATAAGTTTACACAGGTATGGTTAAAGTTGTACCAAACAGACAAGTCACTTCACATCTTTCCTTCCGAGAACCTGAGAAAACCTGAGTGTTCTGTCCCCTGGGAAGAGAAAACAGCTTCACCTTAGATAAACAAGCTCTCAGTATTATTGTGGAGGTGTTGTGCTTCATATCTCTGTTAGAACTACTTTAAATCTGATATTAAAGGCATATTTTGCTCCATGTGAAAGCACATATACTGATCTGCTTGAAGTTTGTGAGCATTTTTAAGTAACCCAAAGTTCAAAGAAATATGTTCATAGTATTGATAATGTGCTTTATTTGTGTTGCACTTTTCAAAAGCAAAGTTACAAGTGCTTTGCAGTAAAATCATGTAGTGAGGTAAGAACCAATACCTTAGGTGTAACGAGATAAAATTATTTCTAACAAGTCTTAACGATTAGTATCAGTTAATAAAAGCCAAACAATAATAGTGAGATTTAAATATATATATATATATTTACTATGTCTGCAGTTATTTGACCACTCTATTATTGAACATGTTTTAATAGAATTTATACACACACACACACACACACACACACACAATTTATAATAACACTGTTTGCTGTGTTTACCACTTATGAAATTATTTTAAAATTCATTCATAAAAAGTTATATTATAGTAGTAAAGCATAGGTTGTAATCTGCTGATTGTTTTCTTGTTGAGGTCTGTAATCAGAAAATTGCTCACAAATGTCCAATCAGTGATCAAGAGCAGCAGTTAAAATTACATGTCTTCAAAAATCAATCAGCTTTCATTAAAAAATTTTTTTTTTAAAAACAAGGAAAGCAACAAATTTCCACAAGAGTCTTGAACCTGGGATTATTTATTTATTTATTTTTGCTTTAATTACTTATCAAAACAGTTGCCGATTAATTTTCTGTCATCAACTAATCCATAAATTGACTAATCTTTGCAGCTTTACAGATTTTATTCTGCTTTGGATTAATTTCAGTGTAGGAAAGTGTTGACAGCTTTGTTTTTTCCATCACTGATGACTTCATTCAGTCGGTGTTTGCTAACTGCATCCACTTCCAGTTTTGTTTTATTTCTGCACCTCTGGCTCCGATGTTAAAAGTCTGGTCCAGAGTTACAATTTAGCCTCACTACGTGCCAGGAGGAGCTCTTGTTCTTCACTGTAAGGCAATAATAGGAGAGAGACAGTTTGTTCCAGGGCTGTGAGTAATCATGAGGCAAAACTTCATGTTGCACTTCGGTGGCTGCTTTCAAAACTCAGCGAGAAGTGACTTGTCTTCTTCATTGTGTGAATGAAGCATGACTAATAGATTCTGTAAGCTCTAAGGGGACGGTAAAAGATGCCTCTTGCAGAAGACGTAGGTTTATTTGAATTAGAAATCTTCTGAGTGTTTACCTTCACACCGCCTGCGGTGGGTCCAGCTACTGCAGATCTGCCCTTGTTTATCATTTTAAGTCTTTGCTTTAAACCGTGACTCTGTCGAAACCAAGATGTGCAAATACAGTGGGTGGAGGACGGTGAGGTTCGTCCTGCAGCTCATCATTCACTTTGAGAGTTCACCGTGAACTTTAGACGACACGATGGGAATGCACCTGAAGTTCAAACTGTGTCATGATATATTTGGATAATGGGAGTAACTCAGAATAAGCAGCAGGAAATTAGTTAGACAACTACTTCTAAGTCATTCTTGCACCAGCACAGTGGAATGCCCTTTACATTTGGTTGTGTCAACTATAATGCCAGAACTCTTGATTATTTTTGGCCTCCTGTTGAGCAAAAGCAAATCCCTCTACGCTCAGGAGAGCCAGCTGGTCAACAATGGTTTCACAGGGAGCAGTTCTATCCATCCATCTTCTCTTGACACTGGTACATGCTGTACAGCGCTTTGCTGAGTATTTGCTCAGTTTCATCAGGACGTGCTGTTTTTTTTTTTTATCTACGGTAAACTACACCTCATCTACGCTCAGGTTGCACCATCAGATTGCCTTTCAGGATATCTCTGTTAGTGTCAGAGCCAAGTTTTTGCTTGGGGGCACATAATGTTTACATCCTGAACATGAAATGTTTGAAGGCTTCACACTTTGCTGCACCAGCGCACGTGGCTCATGTCTGACTCACGGCTGTGGTTGCGCTGCCGGGAGTTAGATGAGACGATTGGCACCACTTTTATATCTTTCTGCTCAATATGAAGCTACAGTCCGATGTAAACAACCAGCCTAGCTCGGTGCAAAATGTACAAAATTCACCCTGCAAATCGACTGTGATTGATTGAAAGAAATACAAACAAGCCAGAGCTTCTTTCCCCACTAAAGCAGATTAATAATGAGGGTTAGATCATAGATCATTCAGAGATATGGCTAGATCTGGATATGGAGGACTATATTTTAATAAATGTGCCAGTGAGCCAAATCTCTGCAAAAATCAAAGATTAGAGAAAAATTCCAAAAACTGCAAACAGATTTATGCATCAGAACGTTGTTTCTTCTCTGCCATTGATCTGGTGATGAGCCTTCAATTTTATCTGCTGTCCATGTATATAAAACTGGATATAAAGTAGTTTAAGCCTGCAGCAGCTACTACAGTAACATACTACTGAAACACTGATGCTTCACTAGTATTAATCTAATGATGGCGGATATAATGATATATCAAACAGAAGGACCAAACTAGTGCTTTTACTTTATTACTTTAGCTACATTTTGCTGCTAACATTTGTATACTGACACTGAAGTAGGATTTTTCATGCAGGACTTGGATTATTTTTACAATGCTGCTACTTGTACTGAAATAAAGGATCTGAATACTTTTTCCCTTTAAGTTAGTGTATCAACAGGTTGTGGTTTTGTTGAGGTTGTGTTCTTGGCTATTTATTTACCAGGAGCAGACATTCGGAAGTTTCAAATTGTGTGTCACAGACTCTAGGATGTCACTTTTTTATTATGGTTCAAACTTCAGATCATGTGATACACTGCATTAAAAAACAAGCCTTGGAGGTGCTGTTTGATGGTTGGTTACAAACCAAAACTGGACTGCTTCCTTTTGTTTTTAGTCTTCACGCAAAGCTAAGTTAACCATCTCCTGGTTTTATATTTAACAGACAGATATAAGAGTGATATCAATCTTCTCATCTTAGTCTGTGCAAGAAAGAGAATATGTGCAAATTCCAAACTGACCAACTTCAGCTGTAAATCTGTGACACTGATCCTTTGTTCACAACGCTATTGTGTAGCAAACCTGTTTCATGTTTGTTTCACAATACAGGGAGGTGATCTTGTGGTTATAGTTTCTTTCAAGTATCCTGGGAGACTTGATACATGTAACTTTTCCTTTATTTCTTTTTTTTTTTTTTGACAAAGTGGGTCAAACATTTTTTAAAGAACACAATAAAAAAACAAGATAAAATGAATTTCCAGCGACAGAGCCACAACACGTGTCCCTAAAATAAAAGAACTGGAAATTCAAGCGTGAACTTCCCTCAATTCTTCCCCTCGCAGCACGACTGAAGGCTGGGACAATAAGCTCCAGACAGATGGAGCTGAGAGTGTTCGAAAAGGATAAATATGTACATAATGCACAGAGAATCCACCTTTGTGAGACCAGATTTCCTGCTTCCAAACATCACCTTCAGCATCAGCTTAAGTTACTCGTATTACTGTGCATAGATGACATCCTTTTGAGTGAGCTGCACTGCAGCTTTTCCTTTCTACAGTTTGCGTTATAATACCATATAAATGTCATTAAAGGGTTTTAAAATAATCTAACATGGTTTCATCAGAAGAAACTGACTTGCTTTATTTTGCATACATATTGATTCATTGAATGTTGATCATGTGCAGAAAACTTAGTTTTTGCCATTTCCCAGGCTCAGAGAACTTTTGTATTTTATTATGATGTGTTTCCATCCTTAAAGCCAAACTGTCAGGGAGCCAAAGAGTTGTCTCTGAAACATGATATTGTTATAAATCCAAGTTCTTTAAAGGCTAAAGTGCATGATTTGAAACTTTTGATCGAAATCTCAAACAAAGCAATTCTTTGCCGGCCTGAGCAAATAGGTCCTGTTGAACCATTTAGATAATTGAAGCCTGTGTCGTAGAAAATGAGGATGAAATATTAGCAACAGTGTAAAAGCATCTATTGTGTGTGCTAACAAACCAGAAAGCCAAGTTTTAATAGGAGCATTAACTGTTCTGAGGCGAATGCATAGTTTATTCTTCCTCGGCCGACCTGGCAACTGGTAAACAGGCTGAAAGCCTGGATTTATCAGTGTTTTCACAGCAGATACACTCTTAATCTCAACACGTATCTTCAGCGTCATCGTGGCATTCATGGCCTCCCGAGCGATTAAACCCTCATACAGTTTCTGTGAAAGCCTCCTGACACACAGACAAGCGAATGGCTCCTCTTCCAGATCACTGGGAGTGCGTCCAGTGGGCAACTTTGATCTCTACACAGTTCTGGGTGTAAAGAGAAAAGTCCAAGAGACAAATCATGCAATTAAATGAAGAAACATGCTGTACAGTGTCACTAGGAGCTTAGTGATTGGCTGAGAATGATTCCAAAACGTCATTACTGAATCCCATATTTCATTTCTCTTTTGGAAACAGGCTGTGTAGCTTCTTGGAACACCTGATAAATTATTGCTTTGCTCAAATGCACCACTATTTCTCAAATGCTTCATTTAAGTTGAACATGTAGATATTCCTACCTTACAACTGTGTCCTTCAAAATTTCTGCCGCTTGCTCTGAGGCGTGAACTCGAGTCAAACTAACTTGACTTTGCCCTTGATTTGACGAAATTTAGAAAAGACCTGCAGCTCAGCTCATTTTGGGAGATATGCTTTCTTGCACATCAATACCACGGTGATGTCCAAAGTTCAGCTGCTCTTCGTTGTGGGCTTGCTGCCCATTCAGCCATTTGGGATTGCATACTTAGATGATTTTATAAAGCTACTGCCAAAAGATTGCTATCGTGGCTTAGCACAACAGCTGGAAAGGTGAAACAGCCCCCCTGGGTCTGTCCAAAGATGACAACTTCTACAGAACCTCTAAAGCAAACAAACATGTTATATCTCATTTTCTCAATTTTATTCTTGTAAAAACTTGAATTTAAAAACAAGTTGCTACTTTTAAATGGGTTTGTGTGCACAATATTTACTTGCTTAGTGCATTGACTTTCTGGTGAGCTTTAGAGGCCTTAAGTTGGCTGTTAGAGTTTTGTATGTCCAAACCATTCTGTTAACTACAGACATGAGCTCCCCTGAAAACATGATTTGTGCACATTCAGTACCCTGACTTGAAATTTGATTCTTTATTTTATTGCTTTGGCTTGAAACTCAACTTGTAACTTAGATCCTCATTACTGTGCAGTTAAAGATTTTAGATACAGAACATAAGAAACTGACATCTAACAATGATCCAGTGATCTATATAATAATATGGTCATTTAGCATCATGAGCTTCCCTACATTCTAGGTAATACTCATACACTTTCAGGTCATAAACTTTATTTTTTTCCCCCCTTTTGTGTTATTACTTTTTTTTTTCTTTCTTTTACTGAAAGTATTGGAAAGTTTTCTCAGACTGAGGCTGTTGAGTTGAAGACGGGTTTCTTCAGTGACTGCTGGGGAGTCCCAGTTCTTCACACCATTAGGTCTGAGTCTGATTCTTCAAGTGAAATCATGTAGTCAGGACAGCTGTGTGTGCAATCACTGGAATAGCCTAGTTTCTGTTCAGAAGGGAAGACGCTTTTCCTGAAACAGCGGACACATATGGGTCGACAATGTGATTCCTCTGAATTGCTGTCTGTTCCAGCGAACAGTTTAAACCTCTGGAGGATTTTTTTTTTTTTCAGATTTTGTGTCTGTTTTGCCATTTTATGAGGGCACTCAAATGTCTCCTGCTGCTGAAAATGCCACAGAAGACACTTGACATTCATGACCTCAACCTATTTTAGTTCTGAATCCATCACCATTTCAGATTTCTCTCCCCTCTACCTGCAGCTTTTCACACATTTTCAAGCACATAATTCGGAGACTCATCCTTTCCTTTCTGTCACAGCTGTTCGTCCTGTGCCACGGCCTCCTGCAGTTCTCTCAGCTGCTGTACAGCGCCTACTTCAAGAGCACCATCACCACAATCGAGAGACGCTATGGCCTCAGTAGCTACTCCTCGGGAACCATTTCCTCTCTCAACGAGGTGGGAAGCCAACAACAGCAACAACATGCCTTCACACAGTGTTAGGTCGTGACTTATTTCAAGGATACAAATGACAATGGAGGAATTGAAGTACAGGCACCATATCAAAATCACACTTCCTGATATTTCAAGTGGGACCTTTTTTTTTGGAACAGTTTTGTTACAGACACAGAGTTCATGAATGATGAAAGAATGTTCTGTACGTGCTGCTGAGGAAGATGACGCTTTTTAAAAAAAAAAAAAAAATGCTTTAGTGGGCTTTAGAGGCATCATGCACATTAATGTTATCCATTTGTCAAACATTCATGTCACTAATGATACCATGTTGACATTTGTTGTCTTTTTGTTTTTGGTTATATTTCTTGAAAACAGAATATTTTAATTTTGACTCAAAGTTATGTGATTCCAGCTTCTTAAATATATATTTTTGTGTGTTCTGTTGTTTCTCTATCATGGTAAACTGAATATTTTTGAGTTGGTGACAAGACATTTAAGGACATTACCTTGGGCTCATTTGATCAGCATATTTGACCATTTTCTGAGATTTTATAGACCAAACGATCAGTCAATTGACAAAACAACCGACAGATCAATCAACAGGGAAAATTGTTAGTTGCAGCCCTACTCAGACTGTAGTTAGTGAGACGGAGAAATGAGATGGTGGTAAGGAAAACGTAGCAGAAAGAAGAGTTAACATTTAACCAGAAATGGCGACTCTATATGAATGCCATCACTGTTTCTAAAGCACTATTTGCTATGCTAGCCAATCAACTGAGACGGTGCTTATATATTAGTGTTTACAGCTTGTTTCTACTGTGCTAAAAGATCATGTATTGCTGCTTTAAGCTCCACATTTAATACCTTTTTTTTAACATTAGTTCTGAATTGTGGCTAAGTTTAATTGACTGCAACCCTGGCCACTTCAATGTTTAGTTATGAGAGTTTACTAGCAGTGTTGGAAAGACGTCCAACTTTATGCATTAAGTGTGAAACTGTTCATTTGAAAACTGTCCTACCGAGAGAACATGTGTTATTTCAGCTCATACCACCAGGGGCTTTCTTGAACATCTCTGATTTTCTTGAAAGTTGTTTTTGTTTTCCTTGTTTTTTTTAAATCATACACAATAGATACCTAAAACGGTGTCTGTGAAATTTTAACTTGATATAACAAATACTTTGTGAGATTTTTAGTTTTTATTTTTTAAATTACAGGTCAACCCCCTCTCAGAACGTGTTTTTGCACATTGAAATTTGAGGCTATGTTTGGATCACAATATCTCAAGAACTTTAAAAGATAAAACCCTGAAATGTTTACTGTTATTTCTCATCATGTCATTGATTCCGAATCTGCAATATTAAAATATGACAGAAAAGTTTAAGCCATTATTTAAAGTCTCATCTTTGAGCTCACGTTAACAAAAACATTGATAATGCCCTTGATTGAAGTCAACTAGTGGTGTTTTCTGAACAGTATGTCGTTACTTGTTGTCATCCTAAAAAAACTAAAAAAACAAACGTGAAGAATAACTTTTGATGTGAAATATTTGGTCTAGAGTGTTGAATCTGTCTGTCCATTGCGGATTCTGAATCAATGGCACAATGCGAAATAACAGTGAAAAATTCCGGGTTTTGTCTTGAAACATGGCCTCAAATTTCAATGTGCAAAAAAAAATATTGTATCTCGGAAAGTATTTGATATTCATCCATCCATCCATCCATTATCTATACAGCGCTTAATTCTCACTAGGGTCCCGGGGGTGCTGGAACCTATCCCAGCTGACTTAGGGCGAAGGCAGGGGACACCCTGGACAGGTCACCAGTCTATCACAGGGCTACACTTAGAGACAGACAACCAAGCACACTCACATTCACACCTACGGACAATTTAGAATCACCAATTAACCTCAACATGATTTTGGACCTTGTGGGAGGAAGCCAGAAAACTCGGAGAGAACCCACGCTGCACGGGGAGAACATGCAAACTCCACACAGAAAGATCCCAGGTGTCCTCACTGGGACGTGAACCGGCAACCTTCTTGCTGCGAGGCAATGGTGCTAACCACTGACCCAGCTTGCAGCCCAGTATTTGATATTTTAAGCTAAAATTTCACTAATGTCTTTAAAGAAATATGAATTTTTTTTATGTCATTAACATTTCATGCAAATCAGAGATGGTCTAGCAGAAAGTTCTCTAAAAATGTAATGATTTAAGATTAAATGACTGACGTGCTTTCTTTGGCGTCTCTTTGAATCGTGTGTCTTTTCTCTCAGATCAGTAACAGCGTGCTGATCGTGTTCGTGAGCTACTTTGGGAATCGGGTTCATCGTCCTCGCATCATTGGGATTGGTGGACTGCTAATGGCGGTCAGTGCCATGATCCTGACCTTACCTCACTTCCTGTCTCAGCCCTACGAATACGACTCCGTGTTACACAGTAAGACAAAGCCATAACTACAAGACTGCATTTCTTCTCTTGTCTCCATTGGCACCAATGTCAGTCCGTCCAGAGCAGGCGACTCACAAATGTACGCATATGTATGTGCATGTAAGCAGTTCATGAGGCTTTAAAACTAAGCATCTTCTCAGTACAGACTCCATCACACCCAGCAGGAGTAAAACAAGTCTCTGCTGTTCAGCTCACTGTGTTCTTGCTGGTGCTCTCCGGTTGAACTTTTGAATAAATCAAAAGAAAATTCATAATCTCTGAGCACTCGCTGAAAGCTAAGAAGATTAGAATTACCTCCAGGCGTTTAATTTGCAATAACATTCTCCCGCTTCCTCCGCTCATTCTGCCTCCAGACAGAGTATCTTGGCACAGTGCATAGTGTCAGTGGAGGGTCAGAGAAGCTCCAGGAAATTAAACAAGTGGGACATCTACATCCACTGACCTGTCATTAACAATCACGCTCTGTTTTTTTTTCCCCGCTTTCCTTCTGTTTGCATGTGACCACCTGCTGTGAACCAGATCGCCACGACATTTGCACTCTGCAGGGCAACTCCAGCAACACAGAGTCTTGTGGCCGCGATGAAAGCAGACGTCTGACCGACACCAACAACCTGTGGCTGCTCATGGCCAGCGCCCAGCTGCTCTTCGGTGTGGGCTCGGTGCCCATCCAGCCCTTTGGGATTTCCTACATAGATGATTTTGCTGGACCTGGGAACTCCCCTCTCTACATAGGTGACTGACCTGGAGTTCAGAAAAAAATTGATTAGTTTACATGAAGGGACATTAACATTAGTGTGATGCAACCTTGAGATTTTTTTGACTGCAATCTGAGTTGAAAAATAGAAAGCAGTGGTTTTGTTAAGAAAAGTAGGCAGTTTAATTTTACCTTGTTTAATAACACAATATGTTGCTAACTACTGATGGGAGGTACAAAGTACCACAACATATTTTTGTTGTAGATGCAAAAATCTTTATCCACATCCTTGTATTTACTGACATTTCATAAAGTTTTACTAAAATCGCGTCTGCCTATCTATTTCTGCTGTTCTTTTGCTAAATTAACAATTGCCTCTTGTCTAGAGAGCTCAATTCAGTTTGTCTGCGGCATTAGATAAGTTATGACCCACTCTAACATTATCATTGATAGAGTTAGCATCTAAGACGTTCAGCAAGCAGCAGATAGAAACCTGATTTTATCTGAGATTTTCACTTATTAATATGCTGTCCGTCACTGCCGTCATCTCTGAAGTCATCAGAGCAGTTTGAGTTGTCAATACAAGCATTGGTTTTTGTCAACATTAGCATGAGTTGCATAATTAACTTTAGTTGTGGTTGATAATCAGCTTTTCACCAAGTTTCAACAAGATAAAAAGGTGACTCAGACTACTTGATATTTGAATCTGTGTTTTTGATAGTCATATATTTTGAGATGCTGAAACTTGAAGAACCGAGTTATAGATGGATTTTAGTGGTAGTTTTAGTGGTTTTGCATAGAAAACTAAATCAGCCTACATACATGATTTTTCACAAAGATCATAATGTATCTGATATAGACTAAGTCCGAGGTCACAATTTGACTGGAAATTTACTAGACAGACCAACAGTACATCACAAACTCTGCCTCACAGCTGCTCTTATCATTCACAGCCATCCTGTTTGCTGTCTCTGTGTTCGGGCCTGTCGTTGGCTACCTGCTGGGTTCCGTCATGCTGCGCATCTACGTGGACGTGGACAGAACTGGTCTAGGTAATGATTCGTTCTTTAAGGGCAGCCCAAAGTCAGTGTTTAAATCAGGTGGAAAATGCTTCATGATTGTGTCTGGTGACTGAATGTTCTGCAGGAGCCGAACTGGAGCTGAGGCAGGGTGACCCCCGCTGGGTCGGTGCCTGGTGGATGGGCCTGCTCATCACCACTGGCTGCCTGACTCTTACCTCCATCCCCTACTTCTTCTTCCCGCGCACAATGCCATCAGAAGACAATGTAAGTCTCAATCTTGCACAATCTTTAGTACAGGATAGCCATGTGTATAAGTTATTTAATGCATGTTGTGGACTATATAGAGATAGTTTATGGTTTATTGTTCTAGAAATTTGTTATTGTAAGATTCCAGCGTGACAAGACTCTTCAACGGCAGTGTTTGTCTCAGGTTTTACTGACACCTACTGGTTTCATGCAAACATTGCAAGTTCATAACAGCATTTTCAAATCAACATTATAATGACTTTGTCTGTGAGGGTATTATTGTAGCAAAACTATTTGTAAATGTGTATGGAGAGTTGTGTATCTCAATCTGTGTGTCTGTAGTGAGATTTGTGAATGTGTAAAAACATTTGTAAAAGATTTGTCGATGTGTCAAAAGATTTGTCAATGCATACAAAGATATTAATAGATGAAAAGTCAAAGTATTTGGCTAGAGGTGCTGGAAATACAGCCAAATCACCAGTTACAAGTCAAGCACGCCTCACTATTGGCTGTCTTTTTACACATGCCATGCTACACTTCTGTCCTGAGAGATTTGTATCTGTAACTTCAGGGTTTCTATGCCCTGAGTTCAGGCTCACAGGCTCGTTTATTCTGGCTGCGCACCACTCTGTACCTCAATAGTTATGCCGCCTGCAAACCATCAGGTGGCGCTATCCCTCAGAGTCTTTGAGGGCACTGACATTGTCTGGTATATGTGAACAAGTTAAATTTGCTGAGTCTGTGGGTCGCTGAGCAAAAACTTTCACGATGGCTTACGCATTGACAAATCTTTTTACACATTCACAAATTTCACTAGAGACACACAGATTGAGATACAGACACACAACTCTCCATACACATTTACAAATAGTTTTGCGACAATATGTCAGGGAGCACATTTCAACTTTGACACACCAATTTGTGGATTCTTCTGTTAATCATAGATAAGATAAAGCCAGTTACTGTAAAGGGATTACATCCTCCTCTTTCCTGTGAAACCACATTTTAACTCTCCCAGCTTTGACTGGGACTTGACCTTGTAAAAGTATGTAACTGATAAGAATTTAAATGCCTCCGTTTTAGACCACATTGATACAAATCTTAGGCCTTTTCAAAATAACACCACATTGTCCCTGATATTTGTTCCTCTCAGTTACTAGAAAATTGCACCCCCTGCTAAGAAAAGAGTCCTTTAGTATGAAAAGAAACAAAATTTTGGTTAAATTGATCCTTAAAATCTAAAAACATACAAAGCAAAATAACATAAAACAGTCAGTCATGCACTGCACTTTTAAGATAAACTGCATTGGCAGGAAACTGTATGTAATATAAGGTAAATAGTGTTGAATGAACTTGTATTAATACAATGTGTTTTATATATTTTAGTGCATTGTGACTGCTAATGTACATCAGCAATTTCCCGCCGGCAGTCCATTCAAACTACAAGAGCAGGTATTTTAATATATATATAAAAAAAAGAATTCTCCTGAGAGACAAAAACTCACAGAAATCTTCCATTAGGGTGTTGTTTGGGGGATTTCGAACACTGTGCAGCTGCAGCACAAAGCTGTCAGCTCACTGTAATGTTCTAATGACACATGAATGCAGTATACAGAGAGAGGGGCATATTGTAGGACAATGTAGCAAAGAAACATTGAAGTGTTCCTTAAAGAAGAATTGTAAAAATGTGGCTGATATGAACCTTTCAGATCCTCCACACACTGTCCTGTACTATTTGAATTGGTACAAGTGTATCACATAAATGGTTCTATATTCATTGCACACTGAATTTAGCTAAATGTAAGCTGGAATTAAGCCTTTTCCTGTTTCTACTTGTAACAGCTTGTCCATATTATTTTCCAGGTGATTGGAAGTGAGACTGACTCGAGTGATGACTTCAAGAAGCCGGATATCTCTTTACTGGATTTCCTGAAAAGTGAGTGTATCATACTTAGACTGCAAAGGGCTTTTGGATTCAGTTTTAGGTTGTTCAGTAACGGATTAAAAAAAGGAGAGTGTGTTTTCAGTGTACTAATCAGTGTGTCTGTGTCTGATCAGTGTTTCCCAGGATGTTTGTCCACCTCCTGCTGAGCCCTCTCTTCCTGATGCTGGTCCTGGCTCAGTGCTGCTTCTCCTCAGTGATTGCAGGTCTGGCTACATTCCTTAACAAGTTTCTGGAGCGACAATACAGTGCCTCGCCCGCCTACAGCAGCCTGCTAGTAGGTAGGTACTGTAGGAGTATGAATGTAAACATCTGTCACTGTTGCTTTTTCAGCAAAATCCTCATGATCAGTGTCACAGAGCTCCGACGCAATATGTGTTTGCGTTTCCAGGCTTATGCTGCTATTCTGTGTTTTGAAATATAAAATTCTGAAGTTGAAAAAATAAATTGACAGGCAGAGTGTTTTTAATGGTGTTTGGAGCAGACAGCCAGTGCAGCCAAAATGCTGGTCGCTGTGTAAGAGAGCACCAGCCAGAGCGAGCTTGATGCTGTTGAAAGCATCGTAAGAAGTCGTGTGTTATGGAGTGTACACTCCTATGCAGAGCTGCCTCTACAGCCAATCTACTTTTTTGAAAATGATTTTCCTTCCTTTGTTCACTAAAAACATATATGTGCACAAGAAAGCCCAAAAACACAAATAAAACTCTTTCAAAAGCCAAACAATAGGTGGCGATATAACCTTAGAACCATGTTGGCCAGTAGAAGACTAAAACAAAAGTTCTGGGACTCAAGTAAGTTACCAACAATAGTGCACAGAAGAAGGGGATCACATGTCTGGACTAATCTTAACACTTCTGTTCCTGAATATAGCCAAGGATTACCTGCATGGGTAAACAGGTTCACATCTACACTGCAAACAGAGTTTTTGAGTATCTTCACCCTGTCATAAAGGTTCGAGACCTATAATTGCATTTGCAATTACCAAACAACTAAAAAGCCAAAAACACAGAAAAAGCTACATTTTAAACAAATAAGTATCTCAAATCATCTTTTTTTAAATCATCTTAACTCAAATTATCTTTTTTTTTTTTTTTTTTTTTAAATGGTTTGTTTGGTTTTTTAATGTTATGTTTTTATATTATTATTATTATTATATTATTATTATTTGTATGTCTTTATATTAAATAATAGTAATAATAATAATAATAAACTTTATTTATATAGCACTTTTCAAAACAGGGTTACAAAGTGCAGATTCAAAGAGAAGTGTACGGAAAACAACATTAAACAATAAATACTTAGTGAGCTTTTGAATTGCCCTTAGGGGATAAATAAAGTTATTTGAATTGAATTAAATTGAAATTGCACCAAGTCTGGATATCAACAATCAAATTATTTCAAAAGAAACTGCAGAAAAATCATTGAAGTCTATGTACTTGTAGCATCACAAATAAACAATATTAAGCATGTTTTAGCATTTGAGTTACGCAGTGATTTTTTTCTTTTCTTTTTGAAGAAATCTTTTCTGTGTAATCAAACAATAACTCTATGGCTGCATTCATTGTCATGTCCATGAACACAGTGAATAAACATGACTTTACAAATGCTATGAAAATGTAACTCATTTTGTTTCCTATTTATAGACACTAAAAAATATGAGGGAACAGTAATATCATAATATGAATTTACTCTAATAAGAAAAAATAACCAAAGTATAGACAACCCTGGTCCACTTTGAGCCAAGATGTTGTTGCAGCTTGAATAAAGTATTGTGCCTTGAACTAGTCTAGGTCTGGTGTTTACTGATTTGTATGAGATATGATACAGAGAGCTCCAATCTTCTTGACAATATTTGGCAGCATAACAGCAGACATAGTCAGAATATAACATCTGTGGCTGTTTTCACTCAAATGTCAAATATGGACTGAAAAATCTAAGGAGAAGTCTGAAAAGGTGTGGAATTTTGGATGGGCAGTGTGTAGGAACCGTGGTGTCAGCTGTTAAATAATTCAAGTCTTAATGTACCGTATGGTGTGTGTCAAGCCATTTTATGAACTCCAGAGGTGAAATGAAACAGTGTGTTAAAATCATTGAATGGATGCTCTGGAGTGTGTCGGTCCACTTCCATTATGGCTACTTTCCAAAGAGTGAACTCTGATTGAGCTGCTGTCTTTCCTGAGATGAAAATGTTGTTTGGGGTTCTTCTTGTTATTTTAGGCAAATAAGCACCTTCTGCTCCATTGCATTTATTTTCAGATGACCCAGACAATTCTATTCACGTTAATTTAAGAACTAAAAATACATGTGTGTAATCAGTCAAATATTACACAATGTTTAAAATTTTTTTGACATTTTTAGTTGTCATTAAATGCCATCTTTCTGGAGATAATGGAATGGTTTGTGGTTCCCAGGTGCTGTGAATCTGCCAGCAGTGGCTGTGGGGATGCTGCTCGGCGGGGTCATTATGAAAAAGGCAGCTCTCTCTCTGAAGATCATCCCCCGTTTCTCGGTGGTCATGCTGACCATCTCCACCCTCCTCTGCATCCCTCTTTTCTTCATGGGCTGTCCCACGCAGAAAGTCTCGGAGGTCAATCATTACCAGATCAGACAGTATGGGTGAGTGAGGAGAGCAAGATTTACATAGCAGTTCCTTATGATTATGTTTGAGTGAACATGTGGAGGTTGAGTTTTGCTGTTTAAGTCTTATTCCAACACAATACTTTATGTTCAAATACAACAAAGTCAAGGAGCTTCCAGTCTCAAAAACACCTTAAAGGCCAAAATTTCCTCACAACTTCATTGATATTTTAAAAGTCAGTTGATGTGTTTTTGTAATATTTTTGGGCCACTTCTTACAAATTTATTCAATTCATGGTAGTTATGACAGCAATTTTAGACTGTTCTTTCACAAACATGGAAAAATATAATAGTATATTCTGTATATATTATGCTCTTACTGCAAGAATATGTAAATTATTGGTTAAATGGGTCTAACTATTGGGCTACAGTAGGCAGAGCTTACCTTTCAACATGCAAATCTGCATGCTTCCTCTGGGTTGTGGGTGAGTCGCTGCCTCAAGCGAAGGAGTTTAAGTATGTCAGGATCTGGCTGGGCTCAACCTCAGCGATATGGTTAGGAGCTGAGACACGCAAAGGGAGCTCAGAGTAGAGTCACTGCTTGTTTGTGCCAGCGGAGGTGGTTTTGAGTACCTGATTAGGAGGCCTCTTGAACACCTTTCTTGAGAGGTTTTGCAGACACATCCAACTAGGAGGAGACCCCAGGGTAGACCTCAGTGCAGGGGTTACATATTTCTTCTGGCCTGGGCTCGTCATAGGATCCCCAAAGAGTAACTAGAAAATGTTGCTGGGAAAAGAGACATCTGGAATACCTGCTTAGCCTGCTGCCACCATGGCCATTGTCTGGGTCAATGGGGGAAAACAGACAGATGGATGCAAAACCATGAAAAGTTATTCATAGCTGTGCTGGACAGAAAATTCCCCAAATAAAAAATGCAGCACAACGTGAAAGTCTCACTAAACAGCTTATACACTTGCTGAAAGGACTGTTGGATACTGTCTGATTCTAATGCGGCCGTTCACAATGCCTCCAGCTCATAACTATACAGTGTTTAACCCTTTGAGCCCCAGAGGTTAAACTGTTGGGCGTGTCTTTACTCCTGTCACATTTTTACTCACTTTAGGTTTATTTTTCACTGTAATATAAAGTCCTTCACCTCTGGAAATGTTACAACCATGACTAGAAGTAGAAATAGCTCAATAGTACAAATGTGTAATGCCACAAAGAAAATGAAAGTTGAATATCTTTGAGTTTGTTTGGTTTTTTAGTTTGTTTTTACAAAAATTGTAAAAACCTGAAATCAAGATGTACAACATTTTTCCAATCGCTCACAGGTGTTACCAGTACTTGAAAAAAAATGTTGACTCCACATACTATACTAGTAGATTTTTACCTTCTTAGATTCAGAATTTTTTCCATACTTAAAACTTTGTCTCCTGTCTGCTCTGTGTCAACACAGCCTGCAGTTCAACCGAGTTCAGCTGAATTTTGGTCACGTAGATGTTTGTTACAGCTGAGTCACTGATGGCCTCCCAGTTGTGCCATGCATTGCAGAATTTGTTGCTTTTTACTGAATTTGGTTAAAGATCACAGAATATGTTCAAAGACTGTCAGAAAATGAACAATCTGCTGACCCTATCAGTTTTACAGTTTCTGCTACTAAAAAATTTAATTTTAGCGCTTTTTGTTTTTGGTTGGTCTTTGCAGGGTTAATTTATCATTGTCGTCCCAGCTACTTGTTTTTTGTGTAACCCTGTCTCTCTCTGCCCTCCACAGGTCTGTATCCAAATGCTATTCAAATTGCTCCTGTCCTGTCAATGCCTTCCACCCTGTGTGCGGCTCTGATGGTATCGAGTACATTTCGCCCTGCCATGCAGGCTGCACCAACTTTACCAAAGACCCCAACAACACCTACAGGGTTCAGGTCAGTGACTCCTCATAGTGTTTATGCATGGTTTCCTAAATACTTGCAGGTTAGACTGTTGTGTATGTATGTGCTTGTGGTGAGTGTCTCTCTCTCTCTCTCTCTCTCTCTCTCTCTCTATATATATATATATATATATATATATATATATAAAACACTTCACTTTCTTTTTCAATGCTAAAATCGTATCTTACAATAAGTCATCAACAGTAATCAGTGAAAATGCAGAGTAGTCATGTAAGATTGCCATAAACATTCCAAACTTCAACGATTTTCTTCTATAATTTTCTCAGTGGTGGACAAAAGAAGAAGCATTTGGTTTCTGTCCCAGCACAGGATCTGTATACTGTAAGAGTATAATTAACCTTTACCAGTGTAGTTAGGAGCAGAGCACTGCAGGGAATGCATACTGCAAATGAAATGCCATCAAACATGCATTGAGAGAAATCTGCTCTTCAGGGAGTCCTCTTTTCTCCTGATAAATCCTTGGATTTTTTAGACATGAAACGGGAAGTGACTTCTGCCTTGAAGGCACTTTTAGATGTCTCAGTTTGATGCCCCAGTGTTTAGACTATGTTCCATATTTAGGGCCCGAGCACTGACAGTGCGTAGGACCCTATTGTATTGCAAGGAATTATTATTCTCCGCACAAAACAAACGCATTTGTCAGGGCGTAAACATGCTCAAAAACTCATGAAAATTTGCACACACATCAGGACCGGCAAAAAAATTTATATTTTATGGGACTTGTAAATGTGTGTCTCAAAAGGCTCCATAGTGCCCCCTACAATCTACGACGGGCAAAACGCCATTTTGATCAGTTTGTGAGATTTTTGCTTATTTTTATTTATATTGAAGAGCTATCTCCTCATAGGGGATAACTCCAAGACACCTAATATTTGGCCTATACATACAAAAGGCCCGAATGATGAAAAGTTATCAAAATCTTCTGCAAAAGTCAAAGGGTGTGGCCTTGGCGGTCCCCTGAAATTTGATGATTCACCACCAAAAAGGAAGTGCTGTCTAACTACCCTGTACATGCTCCAATCTTCCTCAAACTTTCCATGTTTGATCAGAGTGCTGCCCTGATCACATCCATATGCCAATATCCATTCACAGACATAGCGCCACCTGCTGGTCTTGTTTTCCACTTTGACATCTTATTGTCTCCAATGCATTTCACTGCGCGTTATACCATGTATAACTGTGTTTGTGACCAATAAAAGACCTTGAATACTTGACCGTATTCACTTAAAATGTGGTGATATAAGTTTTGACAAGTTGATGACAACTTGTGGAGAAAATTGTGCCTTTACGTCAAACGGCGTGTCTATGACAGCGCGGTGAATTTCAATGTGTCGCCATGACCACTTAAATGTTTATATCTCAGCTGCACATGATGGGTTCTGACCCAAGTTACATAGCATTGACAAGAATCCATGTCTGAAGACATCCACACTGTAAAATTGACTCATAGTCATAGTGCCACCTATTGGTAACAGAAAGTTTGACCATTACACTTGCATGCGCCATTGCACCAAACTTTGTGATAGCATCCTTGAAATTGGTCAGCTAAGTCTTCCCACGTTGACGATGGTACAGTGGGAAGCTTTTGCGTTTTCAAGCAACGCTGTTGGCTCACATCACCACATGGAACATGGAAAGGACTTTTTGACAGCTTTGGAATGCTCATAAACTCACCAAAATTGGCATACAAGTCACTATCGACTCAACGACAAACAGTCTATGCTTGTCTGGCAAAATGGCTCTATAGCGCCCCCTACAACAATTCATCTATTATTACCCGCAGTACGTTTAACCCTCATCTACAAAATTTGGTAGGCATATGTAACGCATCAGGACACACAAAAAAGCCTCTTGGACCCATATGGTAAACTCAACAGGAAGTCCGCCATTTTTAAATAACTGTTAAATTTTTTTGTGATTTCTGTCATTTTCAAAATCTATCTCCTCCTAGGGGGAATGTTGCACACACCTGAAATTTAGCCAGCACAAACTACAGGACTGGAAGACTGAAATTTATTAAAAGCTTTGCATTTCGTTGAAGGGCGTGGCTATGGCGGCCTTCTGAATTGTGATGATTTGCCATCAAAAAGGAAGCATGTGTAACGACCCTGTACATTCTTCAATCTGTCTCAAACTTTACATACTTGATCACAGTCCTGCCCTGATGAAACTCATATACCTGTATCCATTCACAGTCATCGCGCCACCTGCTGGCCTTGGGAAAGAACATGTTTTACACTTTCATGTGCTATCATTAGCTGGTCGACAGTATTGACCTCAAATGTGGTGATGTGAGCCTTTAGACATTGATGATGACTCATGCCAAAAATTGTGAGTTTTCGTCAAACGGTATGTCCGTGGTGGCCCTCTGAACTTTGATGCTTTGCCATGAAAGAGTAAGTGCTGTCTACCTGCCCTCTGCATGCTGCACTCTGCCTCAAACTTTACATGTTGGCTCAGAGGCCTGCTCTGATAACATTCTCATGCCATTATCCATTCACAGTCACAGCGCCACCTTTTGGCAACGGGAAAGGACACATTTCACACTTGTATTTGCCATTATTAGCCGGTTGACCGTATTAACCGCAAACGTGGTTAGGGTTACGGTAAGGTGATTGTCACTTTGCACGGAGCACATTTCTGCCACAACCCCAATGTGCGGAAGTGCGAGAGCCCACTGCTTACAACTTTAATCAATTAATACATGTTCTTTGAAATAACAACATATTACATACTAGAGCACTGATGAGTCTTATTTAATTCCATTTTTTTTCAGTTCCATTTTATTTATATAGCGCAGTTTACAACATATGTCTTCACATAGCACTTGACATAGTAAGGTATAAACCTTACAAATTTAAACAGAGAATCCAACAATCCAAAGTAGCCTTTGGACTCCCTCTGAGCAAGCGGTCGGCAGTGGTGGGAAAGAACCAAATCGATGCTTATTAGTCACAGAGAGTATTGGAGGTGTTTTAAAAAGGGACAAACTATCAGTGTTCAGACATCACGACTTGTGAATAATCTTCCCGTAGGTGGATTGTGTGACTCCTAATAGTGTGTTAGTCAGTTTGACTCAGCATGTAAAGCCCACTGGGTAACAACGAAGCACAAACACAGACCGTACAGGCTACAATGAGCTCAGTGGATTAATACTCTGAAATCAGAAGATGATTATTTTCTATTTCACGTGGATTCACATGTCCACAAGTTGTTTTTCTGTATTTTTTTTTTTTCAATATTAAAAAAACAATAAAGTGTCAAAACATCTGCAAACACAGTTTAGTCAATCTTTTATTTAAATTTGCATTGAGATACATACAGACTGGCCAAATTCAAAATTAATATCATGTCAGTTTTCCCTCTTTACGAAAAATGATGGTACAATTTTTGTCTTTTTTTTCTGCATTTTGAGATATCTGTTGTTGAAAAGTGTTACCATGAGGTTTTAACTATATGTGGTCGACCAGTTTTAGCACATAAATGCACATGTTCTCACTGAATAATTATATGGGATGACTTTTTTCCCTTTAGATTCTTTACTGAGTAGTTTTACATAGTTGGACATTGCTGAAAATGTGATGAGACGTTTGATACCACACTTCTGTAAATACACTTAAAGTGAACCTAGAGCAAGAAGACAGTTGGCATGCCCATGCTCTTAGCTTAATCTTTATGCTAAGCTAAGCTGACCGGCTGATAAGTACAGCTTCATGCAAACATGAGAGTAGCATTAGTCTCCTCATTTCAGCAAGAAAGTCAATAATACTGTTAAAACTAAACCTTTCAGTGTTTTACATAGATTTCTTCTTTATCTTCTTTCTGGATGCAGATGTATACCAACTGCAGGTGCATATCAGGGAGTCAGAGTCACGCCCACCCAGCTCCATGTCCAAACAACTGCACTCATTTTCTTCTCCCCGTCATACTCGTCATCTCTCTAGCAGCACTGATCGCCTGCCTCACTCACAATCCCATGTACATGATGGTGCTCAGGTAAGGAGGGACGACCGTAAAGTCACATATTCATTTGTTATATGTTCAGAATAAGCTCAAAATTACAAATATGGCCCTAATAGATTGTATGATAAAGGCTACTTGTTCTCCTCTGCAACTATTACTACAGCTTGTATTTAGCAGTCTCTTCTTGGCTCTTTTTTAAGTCCACAAAAAGTCAAGTTACTTTGATTCCCAATGCCCTTAATCTATGAGAGCTAATAATTTAGATTGTACAAGTGTTTGATGCAATATAGTAACAACAGAAAATGTAGACTTTTCTCTTCTCATCCCTGTTCCTGTTCATTTCAGGTCTGTTCCCTCTGAAGAGAAGTCATTTGCTATAGGAATCCAGTTTTTACTCATGAGATTATTAGGTAAGTCATGTGTGTTTGGTCCGATGTTGAAATAGAAAACAAACTATTGTATTAATAATACTCTTGTTTATAATAAACTGCCTAGTGCTGCCCACAAATCAAAAAAATTCCCAATTATTGGTATTGAATACATTAAAAAGACTGTATGAAGCACATAATCCTATAAATAAGCAGTGTATAAATATATAAAAGAACAAATAACGTGTGCACTAACTTTTTTTAAACTCGTCATCATCATGTTATATTCCATCATGCTTATTAAAAATTAAAATTAAATTAAAATTAAAAATCTTTGTAAATAGGCCTTGTTTACATTTTCATTTACAATTTAAGGTGACATTGTAAAAAAAAAAAAAAAGTACTTCCACAGTGAATGTATATTCCCAATAGTGAAGCAGGAATGAATGGAATCAAGAATGATTTGACATTTAAGTGATGTTGCACTAAGCAATTTTCAGTTTTGGGTGTCCAACTTCGTTGATTTCCAGTAAATTCAAATGCACCATAAGTCATTTTGCTTGTGAACTGAGACTGCTTCCTATCTCACAGGGATGTAGTGCAACTTTTAAACGCAACAAAAAAATTAGAAAATGTTTTTAAACATACTTTTCATTCAAATTAATAAGTATGTTGATATTTAGGTCCATTCATACCTCTGCTTGTAGGTTTCTGTTAAGCAAAAGCTGGATTTCTTTTTAATGGTTCTGGCTTAACTGTAAATGAGAAAATATGAATTTGATCTGCACAAACATGATCTGTGTTTCCTTCTCAGCCTGGCTGCCTGCCCCCGCTCTCTATGGAATGGCCATCGACACATCATGTATCTGGTGGAAACGTGTGTGTGGAAAGAAGTTTAGTTGTGGTTACTACGACAACAACTTCTTGAGGAACCGGTTAGAACATTTATCACTCTGAATACATACCACACTCTATATCCGCAGTACATCACAGCCTTTTGTTAATCACTTATCTGACCCCTGCAGGTACTTGGGCTTACAAGTGGGTTTTAAGGTCATGGGCATCATCCTGCTAATGATGCTGGGCTGGAAGGTGCAGCGGACCCAGGAGTACAGTCTGGAAAAGAGGCCCGAAGGACTGCTGTGATCCTGCAGGGACTCCCTGGTGATCCGAGCCTCTCGGAGCTTTCAAACATTTTGAAAATGAGCGTGCTGAGCAAGGCTGCGTCAGTGGGAGGAATCCATTGTCAAGACGAGCCTACGCTGACCTCATTTTACTTCCCTACCTGGCACTGGGCGGAGTCAGGATATCTGTTTTCCAAAATGTTTTGGATGCATTTTAGGCTAATGATTGGAATAACTCAGTATGGCATTACAAGTTGAAAGAGCTAAAACACATCATGTTGTACCTGAACATTTTACATGCTTCCAAGACGGTGATGAGACCCTGACTGATGCTCAGACAGCTATACGTTTTGCATACATGTCATGTTCTTAAAAACTAGGATTCTGTGCAGGTTTCTGTTTATGGGAACATGTTTTGTAACTAGTTTACTGTATAGCTTAATATTTAAGTTTATTTTTTTAGATGTTTGTCTCATACACTGAGACATCTGTGATAACTGCAATACTGATTTTATATACAATCATATGTAACATTTTAAATGCAATTCTAATGAATTTCCAGATATCAAGTACATACACTGTTGCTCATAAACAGAATGAAATAAATTAACATACATTATGCTATCTGCTGGTGTGGTTATTGAGCGGCGTGTAAGTGTAAGCCTCACTGGATAATTTTAAAAAAAGACAGATTGCAATTAATCAAGTCAGCATTAAGTCTTTTATTCTTTTCTGTCATTGTCTGTTTCTCCAAGGCTGGATAGCTAACATGGCAACATGAGCAAGACCAAATGTACTGCATTTACATCACGTCAGTTGGTTATGGTATTTCAATTAACTTCAAGTTTGTTACAGAATTTTTGCCATTGATATCAGCGAAGATGGGTGTTTGATCTTCATGACTTTTAGATAGTCTTGTAGCCCCAGAATGTAGTGTTAGAGGTGTATTTTGCAGTGTGTACTGTATGTAATGGGAACTTAAAGCTGGTACAGTCATTAAGTTTGAATTTACAGATTTTTTGCAGCTTTTGAAAATGTACAAAATCGCTATATTATCAGTATCAGCTGTTAGCTTCTCTCTAAGGATTAACACACTGATAAACAGGATCTGCATAACTAACGATAATATTAACCTCAATCTCTGATGGTAAATATATGATATGTATATTAGATGATGCTTTGGGCTGTTTGATTGTTTATTGGCTTTATGTTAAATTTCAAATAGGACTTCGAATAAGCAATTCAAGCTTCAATCCTTCTCTGACATGACTATTTTCTTTTTTTTTTCTGTCTGTATTTTCTGTTTTGCTGTGTAAACTAAACCAAACCTTAAGGGGGGCTTGTCTGAACAATAAAGTTTTATGCACAACAGGAAGGCAAAGGCAGTGTGAAGCTCTGTGCAGCGTTCTGCTGGGAAATCTTCAGTCCTGCTTTTAAGTGGATGTTTGAACCAGTAACATGCGGTCAGGGGATGCCATCACGGAAAGAAAAAAAATAGAATGATAAAATAATTTAAATGGTTATATTTATCCAGTGATTTGTACTATAAAGAATGAATTTTCCTAATTTTTAAAAATTCAAAATTTTTGCAATTTCCCATTCAAATGCTTGGAAGAGAAGCAGCAGCAAGCTGAGCCTCACCTTGGATTGCGCTACCTACACTGGCTGCCATGCAGTGACAGCGTGCTGCTGTCTGTATGTCGCCAATAACATGGTTCAAACACATTTAATATATGAACTGAGTTTCCAGAGTTTAGCTGATGTATACAATAATGTACAGTGTGTTATTTTTTTTTTTTTTTTTTTTTTTTGTTACTAGCTGTATGTGTGTATGCTGAGCGATCATAAATGGCTGAGAAGAGATTCTTGTCAGGGCCCCCTTCCCGGTCCCTGAGCCTGCCCCCACCTGACTTCCCTCTCTGTCCCTCTCTCTCGTTGTCACTCAGTCTCCGGTTCCGCTCTCTGCAGCGGCTGTCATTAATTATCATCTTATCAGCAGTAACTCCGAGCAGCTGCGGCGCAGCACGCTGGTCGCATCACCTTCAGCCATAAAAGCTGGTTTCACCCTCCACTCCCTGCCAGATTGTAATCAGCTCCAAGGAGTTGAGTTTTCAGGCCCTTGCACCTTGTTTCTCTCGTGCCCTGCTTGTGACTAACCTGTGTTTCCTGTACCGCACTGCCCCGGTTCTGCCTCCGCTCAGCAAACCTCTGTCCTGGCTCGGTCTCGGTCCGGCCGCCTCCCGCCCCGGGTCGGCTTCAGTTTCATCCACCCTGGTCCCAGCACCGGTCCCGCCTCGCTTTCCCCCACCTGACTGACACTCCGAACTGCCACTGAGGCTCTCCGCTGTCACCCTCTCTATCGGTGTGCGACCATGCCTGCCGGTCCTCGGGAGCCTGTCCACCCCCAACCAGATAGCCATTCACGTTTCACTATTTAAATTCAGTGTCTGTGTTTTGTAGCCAATCACCTTGCACTACCCTGAATAAAATGTCTATGCTTGCATGAGGCTGCATCCATTTCTGGGGAAGTTGATTACAGACCAACAGCTTGCTGACTGTGATTTTCTGAATCCGTAATGGATCCTTGATCAAGTTAAATATTATATTGCAGAATAAATAACACTAAATGAGAGAAGTAGTTTGTCTTCTATCTCATCTTCTGTCTTCGTGGGAAGGAAGGACAAGTCCCTCTGTCTGTGCATTGATTTCCAGGGCTTAAACATCACAGTCAAAAATAAGTACCCACTCCCTGTGATTTGCTCGGCCTCCGGAATGCCTACCACCTGGTCCTTATCAGAGAGGGGAACGAATGCAAGATGGCATTTATCACCCCCCTGGGGCATTACGAGTATCCTCGTGATGCCCTTTGGCCTGACCAACGCCCCCGCCGTCTTCCAAAACCTGGTAAATGACGTGCTCCGGGACTTCTTGAACTGCTGTGTGTTCGTCTACCTGAACGACATCCTGATTTTCTCCCGCAACCTGGAGGAGCACTGTCAGCACGTCCACCAGGTCCTGGAGTGCCTGCTCCAGAACCGCCTCTTCATCAAAGCGGAGAAGTGCGAGTACCACGCGCAGATGGTCTCCTTTCAGGGGTACATCATCTCTGTGGGAGAAATCAGGATGGACCCAGCCAAGGTCACGGTGGTGGAGGAGTGGCCGCGACCCGGGGATCGGAAGCAGCTGCAACAGTTCCTCAGGTTTGCCAACTTCTCCCGCCACTTCATCAAGGACTACAGCCAAGTCGCTGCCCTCCTCACAGTGCTGACCTCCACCAGCAATAGGTTTGTCTGGAACCCAGAGGCGGAGGCAGCCTTCCAGGAACTAAAGGCCTGGTTCACCTCTGCTCCCATCCTGGTACAGCCCGACCTTAGCCACCAAGTCATCGTGGAGGTGGACAGCCATTCCTGGTCTGGATGGACCACAAGAACTTTCAGTACATCCAGACTGCCAAGCGTCTCAACTCACGTCAAGCCAGGTGGGCCCTCTTCTTTGGTCAGTTTAATTTCTCCCTGTCCGATCGCCCTGGATCTAAGACCCTGAAGCCAGATGCTCTGTCCTGCCTGCACACCAAAGTTGAGGTCACCCACAAGCCAGAACCCATCCAGCCATCAAAGTTTCTGGCCAGCTTGATGTTGGAAATTGAGTCGACGGTCCGCCAGGCCCAGGAATGACAACCAGATCCTGGCGGAGGTCCCCAGAACGCTCTGTTTGTCCCGGACACCACCTCTTCTGCTGTCCTCCAGTGGGCTCACTCCAGCCAGCTCACCTGCCACCCAGGGGTTTCACAGACACTCTCAGTGCTGCGTCAAAGGTTCTGGTGGCCCTCTATGGAGCATGATGTCCAGGAGTACATCTCTGCCTGCTCCGTCTGTGTTTGAAATAAGAGCTCCACCCAGCCTAGTGCAGGCCTCCTAAGGCCTCTGCCAATACCAAGACGACCATGGTCCCATATTGCCTGGGATTTTGTAACAAGCCTGCCCCCCTCCAATGGCAACATAGTAATCCTGTCCGTGGTAGACCAGTTCTCCAAGGCCACCCACTTCCTGCCTCTCCCCAAACTCCCAATCGCAAGGGAGACAGCCGACCTCCTGGTAACCCACATATTCCAGCCTCATGGCATCCCGGTCGACATAGTTTCGGATCGGGTGCCCCAGTTCACCTCCAGGGTTTGGAAGGCCTTCTGTACAGCACTTGGGGCCACAGTCAATCTGACATCCAGGCTCCATCCACAGAGCAATGGCCAGACGGAGAGACTCAACCAGGAGATGGAAGCCACCCTCTGGTCCATCGCCGCAGAGAACCCGACCCCTGGAGTGCACAGATCCCCTGGGTGGAGTATGCGCACAACACACTCCCCAATGGCTCCTCCAGTATGTCATTATTCCACTGCGTCCACGGGTGCCAGCCACCCCTGTTCCCAGGCCTGGAGGAGGAGATTGCAGTACCGTTGGTGACTGCCCACCTTTGCTGCTGTGCCTGGACCTGGCGACAAGCCCGCACTGTCCTGCTTAAAGCCTCCCAGAAGACCCAAGACCAGGCAAACTGTCACCGCTGTGTCGCGCCGGTGTACACCCCTGGACAGCATGTCTGGCTCCGGGTCGAGGACCTTCCCCTCTGTGTGGAGGCCAAGAAGTTGGCCCCCTGCTTCGATGGAGGCTGTCATCAACCCCTGTGCCATCTGGTTGGAGGGTACTATCAGGGCCCCCTCCCCGGTCTCCCACCTGACTTCCTTCTCTCTCTGCCTCTCTCTCATTTTCACTCAGTCTCCGGTTTCACTCTCTGCAGTGGCTGTCATTAATTATCATCTCATCAGCAGTAACTCCGGGCGGCTGCAGCGCAGCATGCTAGTCACATCACTAACCTGTGTTTCCTGTACCTGCAGCTCTGCTGGCCGCACTGCCCCAGTTCTGCCTCTGTCCTGGCTCGGCCTCAGTCCAACCGCCTCCCACCCCAGATTGGCTTTGGTTCCATCCACCTTGGCTCCAGCCCCGCCTCGTTTTTTCCCACCTGGCTGACACTCCAGACCGCCACTGCCACTCTCTGCCGCCACCCTCTCCATCGGTGTGCGACCCTGCCTGCCGGTCCTCGGGAGCCTGTCCGACCCCTGTCCTGCACCTACTAAGTTTTGTTTTTGTTTTGTCCCAGTCCTTCGTTGTTAAAAATAAGCAGTTTGTACACCACCTGTCTCTGCTATTGTCTGTCCGTCCTCTGCTTGGGTTCACCCTGTGCTGTGACAGTTCTAGATGAGGCAGGAAGTTCTCTTGCCTCATGACAGGGGGCGCTCATGATCCCAGACATTCTTCTTGTGACTCCGCAGCTGCAGTGATTGTGATGAAGTCAGTGCCTCACCAGCCATGAACCTCACCACACGTCACTGATTTGAACCCTTAACATTTGTTAGTTATACTATGATGTAAACTTGCTTACATTAAAGCTGAGTCGGGGCACTCTGAAGTAATATCTGTTGTATTTTACACTGAATGTGCTGGAACACAAAGACCAAAGAACTCTAAATGAGTAACCATTTATTCAGTTCATTGGATGTATTCAGTTATAAAATGTGTTCAGTTAAAGTTTTTCCATATTTTGTTATGAACTTCTATTTTTCAAACCTCACTTCTGTGATTTGAAAAAGTAATTGAAATGAAACAGTAAATGAAAACTAAGAAGGACTGATGTAAGAAAACCTAAATGACAAAAAAAAACCAAAACCCAACATACTATGTTGACACCAACGTATTTAAACACATTAAAGGCTGATGTTGGATAATGCTGACACCAATGCGCTCACTGCATCTGGGACTTTCAGACTTGAATGATGGAGATTTCTGGTCGACTAGTGTCTTCTCTGAGAGTCACTGTCGATGGGGGCTCTGTTGTGTCTTTGCTGGGAAAAATGTCCACCAGAACCTAAATTGCTCAGAAGACATCTCTGGTTTTGGTTGTTAAATTTGCCCCTGTGGTCCCGCTGTGGTGTGAACCTTTGCCGGCAGTTGTAATAGTTGGCCCTGTTTTGGTGGCGCTTGCAGTGTCAGCAGAAGTCATCTCTGTACCGTCTCTGTGCAACCCCAGCACAAGAAGTGTTTCTGTGTGAGGTTGCATTTGAGGGTCTATTATGATGACCAGCTCAGGACACTGGTCTGTTGCACCAAGTGGACCTTGCATTGGTAAACCAGGAGACCTCTGCAGGGCCTGTGCACGGAAGAAATTGTTATCTCAAATAAAACCCTGGTATCTTTGAGGGCCAGTCACACATTGCCTGCATGTGACTTGTTCAGCAGTGTTGTGGCTCCCCTGGTGTTCTTGTCTTGCAGTGCTCATCCCAGTGTCTTCTTGAGGCCCAAATCCTCACTTGGATAATAACTTGTAAATTCAAAGAAAATTTATATTTTTTGTCCCAAAAGTCTCACAACTTTATAAGAGTGTGCTTCGTCTCTTGTCTACAATGTAAAATGTTTTCCCAGACACCTGCATGTGTGCCAGCGTCTGTATAATCTGCGTTGAACTGAGAAAACGAGATAAAAGTGGCTCCCAGCAGCAGTTTAGACAGAAACTGCCTCCCTGCTCAGTCCTCACATGACGTCATTTTATATCACGGCTGTCAGTCCGGCGAGGACCTGGGTGGCGCATGCGCAGAAGCCTCCAGCCGAAGCGTCACGGCCCGGTGCAGCAGCAGCAGCAACAGCAACGTTCCCTTCACGGAGAGAGAGAGAGAGAGAGAGAGAGAGAGAGAGAGAGAGAGCGAGCAGCTGCACCGCCGCCTTTTCCATCCAGCATCTCCGCCGACCAACACCGAACTCGATTGGGAGCTCACAACTACACCCAGACCGTCCTCCGGCGACCGTAGTCCCCCCTCTTCCTCCTCAAAATGTCCGTGGGCAGCGACTTTGGGAACCCGTTAAGAAAATTCAAACTGGTCTTTCTCGGGGAGCAGAGCGGTAAGACGCGTTTCATTTCTACCGACAAGTTCATTTTCGGTGACAAGTGAGGCACCTGCGTGGCAAGTTCATGTGGTGGGAGACGGTTAGCTAGCTGGTCGTGACTTGTGGGGCTTTAAAACTGAAGAAGAAGAATTGTTGGTGAGCGCGGAGGGCGTTCTTTGAGTCAAATAAGCAGCTTCACACAACAGTCTCTAAGTTTAACAGGCTTTAATATCCGCCTCGTAACGCCGGATATTAGTTTGAAACAACCCGGACGAGCTGTGAGGATCTACGCAGCTTTAGTTGTAAATGCTTGGTAAACGAGACTGTGTGCAGCTCCTGGTCTGATGCTGCTGTGGATGGTACAAGTTGGTAAATATCCCTGTGTGTTGAGACACACCCAGGTTGTCAGTGGCGATGAGATAAGTTGTGTGGCTGCAGTCTCTGCCCTGGTATTGTTCCTGTCTGCCTGCTGAGTAAGGCTGCAACTATCCTATACCTTCAACCATTTTCATTTTCTCGAATAAATGAGCAGCTGTTTGGTCTAGAAAATAATGAAAAATGTCCATCAGGATTTTCCAAAGCGCAAGATGATATCCTCACATGTCTTCTTTTGTCCACGACCCCCCCCAAAAAATGCAATTTAATGTCACAGAGCAGTAAAGAAACCTCACATTTTAGAAGACCTTTTTATTTCCTTTAAAAAAAATGACACTGACTGATTAACAGATTATTGTCATAGTTGGGAATACATTTTGTAGTTGACAACTCAATTATTTGATTAATCATTGCAGCTCTACTGTTCAGGCTGACCAAATTTGTGTTTTTGCACATGGATCTGCTCTATGAATTTTAATGGGGTTTGTCTGTCGTGTTTTTTTACGAGGCTGAAACTGATTATTTGTAATAAAGGAACCAAGAAAGCAACTTACTAATTATTTTCTTAATTGTTCAATCAGTTGTTTGGTCATTAAAATGTGAGAATATAGTGACAAAAGTCAGTCAGTGTTTCTCCATGCCCAGAATGACATATTCAGATATCTTGTTTTGTCCACAACCCAAGAGTATTGAGTTGAATGTCTCAGAGGAGTTAGGAAACCTCACATTTAAGAAGCTGTAATCAGAGAATTTAGACTTTATTCTCCTAAAAATGACTCGGACCGATTAATCGATTATTGAAATGGTTAGAGTATAATTTAATAGATGACAACTAATCAATTAATTGATTAATCATTGCAGCTTCTCTGTTTAGGATGGCCAAATTTGTGTTTTTGCATGCTGACCTGCTCTTTTAATTTGAGTAGGGGTTGACTTGTAGGTTTATTTCAAAGCTGATACTGATAATTAGTAATCAAGGAACTAGAGAAGTAACCATTATTTTTATTGTTGAATATGTTCTCAGTAAATCGATAAGTTGTTTTGTCTATAAAGGATCAGAAAATAAGGAAAAATGTCTATCATTGTCTTCCAAATCCTGTGATGACATCCTCAAATGTCTCATTTCATCCACAGCTCAAAAATTTTCAGTTTAACATTATGGACTGGTAAAGAAATCAGACAACAAATCCCATTGACGAAGCTTGAATCAAAGGATTTAGACCCTTTTTTCTTAGAATGCTACTTAGACCAGTTTGACCAGTAATTGATTATTGAAATAGTTGGAGATAAATATATTAGTTGACAATTAATCAGTTCAATAATTAATCATGGCAGCTCTACTGCCTCAGCTGACCAAATCTGTGTTTCAAGGCTAATACTGATTATTTGTGATAAAGGAACCAAGAAAGCAACTAAATCTTATTTTCATTTTGATTATTTTCTCAATTAGTCGATCAGTTGTTTGGGCTGAAAGAATGGTAAGTGAGAATCCAGAATATATTCAAATTTAAGGCGGATTGATGGGTGATGGTCACCATTGGACTGTAAAGTCCTATTTTAAAGCCTCAGGTGAGCCATTTGGCTGAGCGGTTGATCTGACTCTTTGTATTTTGATATCGTAGCAACCTGTCAATCATTAGGTAGCCCCACCTGGAAGCATATCCTGCTTTATCATCTATTTTACTCATAATGAAACCATAGTTTACAAAATGAACACCATACTGTATTAAAGGAACCTTGAAACTACCAGCTGAGACCATAAACTAATTTAAAAATGTTCTAATGTTATAAATGAAGTTAGAGGTAAAGTAATCTTCCTCATAGACTTCTCTACAATCACTTCTTTTTGCAACTAGAGCAGTCGCACCCTGCGGGCTGTTAAAGAGAATGTAGGTTTAGGTCTCTTCTGCTTTAATTTAACTTTTTAAACCATCTATTATATACAGTCTATGTGATGGTTATTTCCATAGTTGACAACTAATTGATTAATCGTTGCAGCTCCACTACTGAGGCTCAATGAGTTTGTGTTTTGAATCCTGACCTGCTCTTTGAATCCGAATCCAAGCATGACGCAAAATAAAACATTCATGTGGAAACTCATCCTTTGGGTTCTGTTCCTCCATCCCAAGCTTCACTTACCCACCCCCTCAGACAGTCAAAAGCTTCTCCTCTTCTGAGGCAACAAAATTGTTTTCCACAAGATTACACTGAGCTGGCTTAGACATGAATTGAATCTCTAGATGTATTTATTTTGTTTTATTTTATTTGAACAGGCCAGGTCTGTTTTATGGTCCAATTCAGAGGTCTTCAGCAGCCAAATGAACCGCATTAGTCACAGTTCAGTCCTCCAGTAGGTCCTATTGATCATCCAGTATAGTGGGGTCACGCATTAAATTGAATAATGGTTCATTTGCAGCAGTGTGGCATAGTTATTATCTAAATAATGGTAAATTTATGTTGTCTTATAGCCAACCAAATGAGGCACCGTCACAGAACAGTGAAATACCGGAGCATGAACCATCTTGTTCATTCCCTTGTAGCTGGCTCTTAGTTTAGGGAGCGCTTGATTTGATATTCAGCTGAATTTCCATGAGCAGAGCATGCCTTTTAAATGTCAATATCGCAGTTGATCATGTTCATTTAATGATCAATGATTAAGATTAATATTTGATTACTTGTGCTTCCCATGTAATCAGTGAAAAAAAAGTAGTTGTAACCTTTGTTAGAACAGATTTCACTCCATTGAGAGGTTTGTTTTCCATCAGAAGTTGTTAAATGTCATGCTTCATACTGCTCTTTGTCAGCAATAAAACTAATAACATGTTCTCCTCTATATTTTCATAGTGCTTTCATCTCTAAATGAAAATAAATTAGATGCAGTATACATAAAATAGACACACTTAATCCCTGTTAGTTTGCCTTTACTCTTGGGCAATTTTATGATATTAAGTGCCAAGCAACCAGCCAAAGGGGATTTGATTGCACAAACATAATATCAGGGAGTGTACTGTATTCACCAGGCTACAAAACTGGCTAAATGTTTTGATAAATTATGGTCAAGCTTGGCATATGAAAAGACACCATTTCTTCTTCAGTTGAAGTAAAACACTGGATTTATTGGTTTTAGACTTGTGTGGCATAAATAAAAGTACAGGAGCGTAGGTTGATTTTAATTGTAATTTTTTTGTGAACCACATAAATCTTCTATCGTTTGAATATGACCATTGGTTTTTCTTCACAATCATTTGGATTCAGAATAAGCAGCCATATGCTTTTACCTGTTCTTCCGTTTAGTCTTGTTGAATGGTTTTGTGTACTCAATTTGTCAGTATTGCAGGAAACGCGTTCACTCTGTGGTCTTTAGTATGTGGAAGACGTTAAAGTCTTATATAAACATAAATTGGTTTTAACTTACAAAAGCCGTGAATTATTGACGAGGAATATTTCTCATTAGCAGGGCTCCAGACTATCTTTTTCACTGGTAGCATTGGTGCGACCAATTTTCTTATTTGGTCGCACGTTCCACCTTGTCACAGGCAAAAACACATCACTTGTTGAACATCTGCTTATCGATAGACGCTACAATTTACAGATGTTCCCTAAACGGCCCACGTTGCAGGCTGTGGTAGCTGCCACTGGGTGGATGTGCTATGCTCAGAAAGGTGTGTGACTGAAAAATACTTTGAAAATAGTTAAACTGGGCCGTTCTAGTGTCAGATTTGTCTGAGATGAAGCCAAGTGTTTCTTTTTGTGCAATGTGGAGCACACCTACATACGATGTTCTGCTCATAGCAAACAGCGAATGCAGGTGTGTTCCACATTTCACAAGAAGACCTAATTTTTAAGTGTAAATAACACAGTTCACCGAAGTTCTAAAAGTGCTGTTTTTCACCACTGTGGTTAACACAGTAGCTGCCTGCGCTGGTTGCAGTGACACCAAAAGAGCTTCATGATCATCATGCACTCGCACAAATGTGACCAGGGGAAATTTCAACTTGCACACTCTCAAAAAAAGGTTGTAAGTGCGACCAAAATGGTTGCAGTCTGGAGCCCTGATTAGTGAATCATTTCACATCATAAGCAATGTGAGCCACTTAGTAATGAAATTCCATAATGGTGAAACTTCTTTTTAGATTTGTTAAAGGCTTGCACTTTCTGCTCATTCGCATCTGGTGTTAAAAGATGCTGTTGCAGGGTGTGTTTACTCACTGACAAACACTTTGTGACAGGATGGCTTATATCTATTATATCTATATCTATTTCTTTCTGTCTGCTCTGTTGCAATGAAACCTATTTTATGCTGCACATGCTATAGAATTGCACTGTGAATGCATTACTCCCATGATGCGTAATAAAGGATTACAGACTCAGCATTTCCCATAATTACAACCAACATTAGTGTCAGGTAATTAAGGCAACTGCTGTTTTATCAGTGAGATGAAGCTTTGGGTTACAATATAATCTTAGAGTTTTGTCAGATTGTATCAAGTGAAACGCTGTGGTTTGTGGGCTGCATGATATTGGAAAAAAGTGACATTGCAATATTTTGTTTTTCTGTGATATTAGAAAAACAACTTAGTAAATTCAGCATTGGTAGGATGCAGTCTGTGGCCAGAGCACTGCAGTCTGGTCATTTTCTT